ATAAGGGAGTTTTGGTATACTTGGATGATATATTAATTTATATTGAAACGAAGGCGGAACACGTGAAGTTGGTCAGAGCACTCCTAAATAAATTCCGAGCAGCTAAGCTCTATGCAAAATTGTCAAAGTGTGAATTCCACAAAGAGAAAATGGACAACCTAGGCTACAGGATTTCATACGACGGGGTGGAGATGAACCTGGAGAAAGTATGTGCCATCCTAGATTGGGCACCCCCCCACACACACCAGAAAGCAGCTACAAAGCTTCCTGGACTTTGCAAATTTCTACCGACAGTTCATCCCCTGTTTCACCCAGATTGCTTTACCTATCACAAACTTGCTAAAAACAAAAGAAGTGGATAAACTGAGACCCAGCCAGCCCCTAAAATGGACTATAGAATCCAAGCGGCATTTGAAAACTTAAAAAGACTTTTCTTGGCAGAGCCAATTTTGAAGCACCCAGACCCAGCAAAGGCAATTATAATGCAGGCTTTGCCAGCAATGTAGCAGAACAAGGAAAACTGCAGCCCTGTGCTTACACCTCCAAAAAGTTACCAGAGACTGAACAACGTTGGGCAGTTTGGGAGAAGGAAGCTTATGCAGTCTGCTGCGCCCTCCTCACCTGGACACACTTTCTGGAAGGGAGCAAGATTCCTTTCCAAGTTTGGACTGATCACAAAAATTTAGATGCTCTAAAGACATCTAGGAAGTTGTCCCCCAAAGTGTGGTGGACACAACACCTCCACTGGTTCAATTTTACTCTCCAATACTTGCTGGGGGAAAAGAATTTCTTAGCTGATGCTCTTTCTAGGATGCCACAATATAACAGCACCAAAACGGAGGTGGTCAAACCTCTATTACCAACCCAGCAATTGGCAGCACCAGTCATTACAAAATCACAGAAGAGAACCCTCACCCAACTGGACAGTGCTGCCTCAACAATGTTCAAACAGCCTTGCTTTATGCCCGGTTCCTTTTTGTCTTTATTAAATTTGGATTGGATTTGAAGATACGCCCACCATTCCAATTCAATTCCTTCTTCCTTTAAATTATTTCTAGCTTTTAATTCTCCTTTCTCATTCAAAATATCTTTATAGGTGGCAGCACCCCCAGTTTTTATCAAATTTGGATATATGTACATTTCTAATGTAGACACCCAGCTGGGAATTTTCATATAATTATTTCTTTTTATTTTTTTCCAGATATCCAATAATGCTCTCCTAATATAATGCTTCCAGAAACACTGCTGGGCTAAATGTCTTTCTTCCCATAAAATAGCGTGCCACCCTGTCTGTAGGTCATGACCTTCTAGTGCTAATAATCTTGTATTTTTGAGATGCATCCACTCATTCAGCCAAACCAACACCGTTGCCTTAGACTGGTAGGCTTTGTCCAGTCTAGTAGGCCAAATCCTCCTCTTTCTCTAGCATCTTGTAATAGTTTTAATCTGATTCTCAGTCGTTTCCTTTGCCATATGAATTTTGAAATGAGTGTATCCAAATTTGTAAAAAAAAATCCTTTTTAAGCCAAATTGGTATGCATTGAAATAGAAACAACATTTTCAGAAGAACATTCATTTTAATGGTGGCTATCCTACCCATTAAAGATAACTGTAGTTTTCCCCATTTTCCCAAATCAGACCTAATTTGCACCATTAATTTATCATAGTTATCTTCTTTCAGTGTGGTGCATCTTGCTGTCAACTGGATTCCCAAATATCTTATTTTTTTCGTGGTCTGCATATTTATCTTTCCCTCCAATTCTTTCTTTTTTTTTTTTGCTCTTCAGTCATATTTTTAACTATCATTTTTGTTTTATCCTTATTTATTTTCAGGTCTGCTACTTCCCCATAGTCCTCCAGCATTTCCATCAGCCTAAGACCAGATTGTACAGGCTCTTCAATAATAAATACAAGGTCGTCCACAAATGCATGTACCTTAAAACTTTGTTTTCTTACTTTTAAACCTTTGATTTGTTTGTCTTCTCAAATTGTTCTAATTAAAGCCTCTAATGATAAGATAAAAAGCAGTGGAGATAGCAGACAGCCTTGCCTTGTGCCTTTTTGGATTAAAAAGTTCTTTGTCGTTTCCCCATTTATCACCACTCTAGCTTCTTGTCTGGAATAGACTGTTTTGAACATCTTTATAAATTTTCCTCCAAAATCCATATATTTTAATTGTTCTAGTATGAAGTCCCATTTGACGTTGTCAAATGCTTTTTGCGCATCAATGAATATCAACGCCATCTGTTTTTCATTATGAGCTTCATAATATTCTATCGTGTCCAAAATAATCCTAATATTATTCCTTATATGCCGTCCAGGAAGAAAGCCGTTTTGGTCAGTATGAATAAAATTCTCTAAAATTTTCTTTAATCTATCTGCCATAATTGTCATAAAGATTTTATAGTCCGACTTTAGTAGAGATATCAGCCTATAGTTTTTAATATAAGTCAGATCAGAATTTTTTGAGGGAATCAGTGTGATTGTTTCTTCTTTCCACTATTCAGGTATCTTAGCTTTATTCAGTACATCATTATAAACCTCTAATAACAGTGGGCTTAATAATTTCTGGTGATTTTTATAGATTTCTGAAGGTAGACCATCTGGGCCTGGTGTTTTGTTACTTTTTTGTTTTTTAATTGTCTCAGATATCTCCCCTGCTGTTATCTCATTATTTAGTGAATTTTTACCTTCCTCCGAGATTCTGGGCAAATCTGATTTTTGAAGGTATTGCACCATCTTGCCTTCTTCTACCTTCTCCTTATCCTCATAAAGGTTTTTAAAGAACTCATACGCTACCTTCCTCTTTTCCTCATTTTGTTAGATTAACTCTCCTTCTTCATTATATAATTTGCTAATCTGGTTCTTTTCTTTCCGTTTCCTTAGTCTATAAGCCAGCCATCTTCCCGGCTTATTTGCATTTTCAAAAAAATTTTGTTTAATACTTTTAATTTGTTGTGCCATATTTTCCTTTTTGATGATATTTAATTTATGTTTAATTATGTTTATTTGATGTTTCAATTCCCGTTTTATGGGTTCTTCCTGCAACTCCATTTCCAGTTTGCTAAGATCGTCCTCTAAGTTTTTTTGCCGTTGTCTTTTTTGTTTGTTGTCTTTGGCCATATATGATATTGCAATACCCTTCATAAAAGCTTTTGCTGTGTCCCACAGATTTTGGTTGTTTGCATCTTCTTTCTTATTAGTTTGAAAGAACAAACTCATTTGATCATCCATCTTTAATTTAAATTCATTTTGGTTCAAAATTGCTCTTTTTAGGGTCCATCTGCTTATCTTTTTTTGCCCTTTCCATTTAATTTTAATGGGATTATGGTCTGCCCATGAATTTATATTGTATTATTTTGATAAAGTTGGAAGGGACCTTGGAAGTCATCTGCCAATAGCTCTGCCATCATCTCCGGAAGATCCTCATTCTTTCCCTCCCACACATTCTGAAATCGTAGAAAATGGGTAGCCTTGTCTATTTCCAATTGGATTATTGTCTGTTCAAGGTCTCTATTAGCTTGAATTAGTCTTTCTTCCATCTCCTCCACTTTTCTTTCTTCCCTTCCCATTCTATCTTCCATCTCCTATAGTTTTTGATCACTTTTTAAAAGTTGTTGTTGGAAGCATTCAAATTTATCATCCATCGATCTCATCTTTTCTTTCATTTCTCCCGTGTCATTCCTTACTTCTCCTATCTCTCGTTTCAAATCCTCATGGTTCTTTAACATAACCTCCTGCATTGTTTGTAACATCTGTTGTAGATCCTTAAATGAGTTTGATCTCTCTCTCTCTGTAAAAGTCCTTCCATAGATCTTTGCCCTGCTGGGCTTGGTTTCATTGTTATAGTTTGGATTCCTTGCCTCTTTCCTGCACCAATTTTTGTCAAATTTGAGATACTTATCATTTTTAATACCGCTTTAAATTGACTTCTCCACTTCCTTATATTTCTCTTAATATCCTCCAGCACCCTTCAACTGTCACTCTCTCAACTAGCTCTTATATATTCTTTACCTTCCTTTCTTAATCTTTCCTACCCCAACTACAGGTTGCAAACCTTCCCCTTAGTCAACAGTTACTTAATAACAAAATCTATATTTAGATCCCTTGATGATATCAATAATTGGTGCAGTAGGTGGTGAAATTAATAAACTAGTAATCTAAGGCTTGCATAACAAGAACAGTAATAATTAAAAAGATGATTTCCTTTTGAAAAAAGTTCCACTATACTATTTTATTAAATTTCCCACATCTAAAATTACTCCTTGAGTTTCCTTGATTTATAAGTCAGTTATTAGCAGGCCATCCAAAATAGGTCTTGTTTCTCTTTAAATTTCCTCTTCTTATTTAAATTTTCACCAGTTTTTCCCTCAGCCAGTAAGTGTCTCTTGCTCCATATCATCCTAGTTAACAGTCAATCTTGCTTCAACATGTCTGTGCTCTCCGATTAGTCAGCACTTTCACTCCCGAGCTAAATTATCAGCAATAATAGTAGATTTCTTCTTCCTCTTTTCCCTCATTCCCCAGTGAAAATTTAACACGCTGAAATGATCTCTTCTTTGCCCCCACTTGCTATTTGCCACTTTGCTATGGAGGAAATTTTCTCCTTCCTTAGGCCTCCTTCTGATTCTTCCCTCTTTGCAATCCCCCAAGAAGATTTTCACCCCTGGTCATTCACAGAGGTTTGCCAGGATCATTTTGCCCGGGTCCATCTCTCTGTTGTCCAGCTAGTCCGCCGCTAATGTTGTCCAGCTGCCCGTTGTTGTCTCTTCCTGGCCACCATTATGGGCGGCCTTCCTTCTGCCGCTCGACTTCTCCGAGGCTTTCCTGCCATCTGCACTCTCAACTGCCGCTGTGAGCTGCGCTACAGGGTGCCTCTTTCTTCTGATTCCCCTCCAAGGAATCTGGGACTCCAAAGAATCTGCCAATTGGATGGAAAAGGCTATGTATTCGACTTTCATAGATGGAGAGCCATTCCGCACAGCCTTCTCTCTAGACATGTGGCCCCGCCCACCTGGCCCACTACCACAAATTATGCAGTCGAGTTTCCCGCATTTGGGGAAATCGCAGGGGTCAGCACACCCGAAGTGCAATGGATGAGTCTCACCCTGGGAAAACCTCCTTCGTGATCAAGGTGTCTCCCCTGCCAGGTAAATCTTGCATAAAGCAAGACGTTTTAGAATTAGATAAAATCTTATTTATTAGGGAAGGCAAGACCATAAGTAAACTATAACGATATTTATTAGAGCAAGATATGATCGAGGAACAGATGAAAGAAACGATGATAATTTGGTGTAAATATTTTGGGCACAATATTGATTTGGATAATTGGCAAAGTTTATGGGAATAAAACCTAAAAATTACTTTAGCAACCTCCTATAAGGAAAACCTCTATAACATGTTTTATAGGTGGCACCTCCCTCCCACAAGATTAGCACGAATGAATAAGGGGAAATCCTCGATATGCTGGAAGTGTGGAGAGACCGCTGGGAATTACTACCACATATGGTGGGAATGCCCAAAGGTACAAAAATTTTGGAATTTATTAAAGAAATGGCTGGAAGAAATTTTGCTAATAGATATAGAGGCCAAACCGGAATTTTTTTTATTGGGAATTATAGAAAGAAAATATAAGAAAGATACAAATTTATTACTGCATATAGTAACAGCGACATGAATAGTCTTCGCACAAAAATGGAAAGAGAAAGATATTCCAACCGAAGAGGAAATATTACTGAAAATTTTCAATTCTGCAGAAATGGATAGACTTACATTGGAACTCAAGAATAAAAGTGAAACTAAGTACTACAAAATCTGGGAACAATTTTATGATTGGATAGATAACAGGGTAGCCAAGACAAATGTATAGTGTTATAATAAAATATAGATTATAGACAAATGTGTATTTAAAAGATAAATAAATATACAGAAATAAGGGGAAAAGGTTTATTATTATATTATAAATAGTGAGCAAGCTCAAGAACTATATGTCTATATGAGTACTAATATTACTGTAAAGTGACGGAACATGTATGGAACCAGTGATGTCATATCTATGTCCAATGTGTTTTAAATTTTGTATTATTAATAAAATATAGATTTAAAAACAGTGTTCAAACAGGCTCTAGAGACAGATGAATGGTTCTTAGAGCACAAGAACTTCTGCTCAATGTGGGATGGACTGAGGTGGATGGGAGGAAAACTGTATGTCTTAGCCACGCAAAGGCTAAAAACTATGCAGGCCTCCCATGATTCAAAACTGGTGGGACACTTTGGGTTTGTGAAAACCCTTGACTGAGTAAAGAGGCAGTTCTGGTGGCCATCATTGAAAAAGGACATTGAAAGTTATGTAGCCAGCTGCCTCATTTGCACCACAGAGAAACGGAAGGCAAGGAAAAACACCTGGCCTTTTACAACCGGTAGCGAGCCCTTCAGCACCCTGTAGAGCAGTGGTTCTCAACCTTCCTAATGCCACGATCCTTTAATACAGTTCCTCATATTGTGGTGACCCCAACCATAAAATTATTTTCGTTGCTACTTCATAACTGTAATTTTGCTACTGTTATGAATCATAATGTAAATATCTGATATGCAGGATGTATTTTCATTGTTACAAATTGAACATAATTAAAGAATAGTGATTAATCACAAAAACAATATGTAATTATATATTGTGAAATATTTATTTCTAATTACAAATAAATGAAATTTTGTCTTGAAGCATGGGTGCCGAATCACACCTTCAGCTGCTCCACCTATGGCTCTGAAGGGAAACCTGACCTTTTCTCTTCTCCCCTTGCCCTACAACACACACACATACACAAACACATTTTCCAGGGTCATGTGATCACCTTTTGCAACCTTCTGACTAGCAAAGTTAGTGGGGAAACCAGATTCACTTAAGAACCATGTTACTAATTTAATCTCTCTCCCCCTCTCTCTCTCTCTCCCTCTCTTTCTCTCCCTTTCTCTCTCTCTCCCTCTTTCTCCCTCTCCCTCTTTTTCTCTCTTTCTCTCTTTCTCTCTTTCCCTTTCTCTCCCTTCTTCTCTCTCTCTCTCCCTCTTTCTCTTTCTCCCTCTCTCTTTCTCCCTCTCTTTCTCTCCCTCTCTCTTTCTCTCTCCGTCTCTGTTTCTCTCCCTCTCTTCCTCCCTCCCTCCCTCCCTCTCTGTCCGATTGGGGATCGATTTGGAGGTGCGGAACTTTTGACCAGTTCCGACCCTCTGTTGTGGAGGTTATTGACTGGGTATGAGCAGTCTGGGAGGCTTGGGTGGCCCAGACAGCCTACAAAGGTTGGAGGAGAACCTGGGACGGAAGTCCACGAAAGCTCCGAGCCTCTCTAGCTGCCAAGTAAAGCAAGGGTGAGCAGGCTGGCTGGCCGGCTGGCCAGCTGGCTGGTGCGAGCAAGGGAGCAAGTGGCCCACCCATCTCTTAAGCACGCCGACTTCCCCGGGCGAGCGGCGGTTCTCACCTGCTGCTTTCTTCAGTTGGCAGCAATAAAGGTGGGGGCGGGGGTTGGTCCCTCTCCCCCAGTGGCATTAAAAGGCAGAATCATCACCGGGGGAGCAAAAAGGGCAAGGCTGGTTCACCAAGCTCGGAGGGAAGGAGGCTCCCTCGCTTGCTCCGCACAGCCCCGCCGCCCTCTCGGCCCAGTACAAGGGGAAGCGGCTAGGTGAAGTAACGGGCATCACTGCCGTGGGCGAAAGAGTCTGCGGGAGCGGTGAGCTACTGAGGGCCGCTCAGGCAAAGAGACTCAAGGGCTGCAATGGGATGGGAGCTCCCCAATATCCTGCCTTTAGATTGGTGCGACTGGGAGCACTTCGGGGCAGAGTCACCCCACCTGCCCTCCAGCGGTCGGCAAGAAGCTCCCACCCCAGTGTAGTCCGGACAATAGGGAGGGGGCTTGGTGACCCCTGGGAAAGGGTCATTCGATCTCCAAAAGGGTCGTGACCCACAGGTTGAGAACAGCTGTTGTAGAGAGATCTCTATGGACTCTATTGTGGAACTGCCAGACAGTATTCCTGTAGGCACCATGGTGCTGTCCAATATTTGGTGGCTGGAAAGACTTTCCAGCCTCCCAAAATGAGTGGGTATATAAGAAACATATTAGAGCCCCTAGATTACTCAAACACTTTCATGCTCATTATCCAGATAAACCTGTTTAACCTATTATTCTCTTTTTCCTTCCTATTATATTAGGGAGGCAGACTACAGGCAGATTTCTCCTTCTTTTAAGGGGGGCAGCATGTCAGAAACCCCTTCAATGTTTCTTTTCAGGGCTCTGCCATTCTAGTAGGAGGGGAGAGGTTTTCCTCTGCTGGGAGGGGAGCTTGGGGCTGTACTTCCTCTCTTTTGTTCTTCCTGAACTTTGATATATCTCTTTGGATGTGAAAAGGGGAATGGAATGTGCCAGGGGCCATCTGCCTTATCTCCAGTCCATTGCAAGATCTGGTGAAGTGCCTGGGAACTGTCCCTTATCAGCTCCGGTTCTTATAACAACTTCACAACTGTGGATTGGCTGGACACGATCTGGACAGTTGGACTCTGGGTGGGGTTTGGTGAAATGAAAGTTTTAATGTAGCATTTCACGTGGAAAAACTTTAGATCTTGCTTTGCTCTCTTGCTATCACTATCTCTCAGTAAAAGTTCCTTTTGAAACAATGCCTGTTTTAAGAGTTCTGCTTTCTTGGGAGTAGTCGAGGCAGGACCTTACAGAGACTCTCATGGATCTCAGCCTTACTGATGATACTGATAATAAGGCAGCAGTGGACCCACAATAGTCATGTGACTATCCTTCTCCCTTTCCCCCCACATCCTTTCAATTGCTGCAGCTTTTGATGGATGGGCTGATCTGTGTTACCATTGGGGTCTGCATCTGAAAGATTTACTTTGGAGTTCAGTATGCTCTACTCTTTCCTCTGGAGCAATGATTTCAGTTGTAGGAGCATCATGTTCTTCATTTCTTTATTTGTCAAGGGATTCACCTTGTAAGGAATTCAAGAATACATCGTTATATATATTCATCATTAAATTAGAAAGCTGTAAATGTAGCAAATATCTTCTGGATCATCATAGGTATGAAAAACAGTTTCTCTTCAAAACCTGGCCTCTTTCTGCTGTTGAGATCTTCTAACAAAATTGTGTATAAGGTTGCTGTTCATACTGAGCAATAATAAGTTGGAAAATCAATAGAGATCTTTTTAAAGAGATATTAAAATATTTACTACATCACACCATTTTTTTTCTTCCCTTGCCTGCAAGTGCACTCTAGCCACAGATATAGATGCAGTATAGATATGAGTCTGATAACTAAATGAACATTCTTTGGCTTATACCCAAGCAGACCCTTCCTCTTCCAGTAGGAAGCAGCATGGTTCTTTTATTCAATTAACTTGCACCTGCTGCCTTATTTCCTGGAACTGTGCTTGTATGTGCCACAGGCTAATCGAAAGAAAACAAGGTCAAGTTGCAGTAGCAAGGTCCTATCAAAGAAGATTTGCACAGCTGGTCATTTTAGGACTTGCTGCAAGGTTTATTAAGTGTGGGTACACACACACACACACACACACACACACAGATACACACCCCTCTTGAGAAAAAAATAAGTCTGACATGCAATTCCTTGTGTTACAGATATGTAATGCAGCTATCAGATGATAGGTTCTTTATATTAATATTTATGTAGATATGCTTATAATGAAATACCTTTCTGAATGTTGAGTTAACTATGTTTCCCTAGGCTGTGTATAGATGGAGATGTATTTAGTAAATAAACAAGCCTCAAAGCAGTAGCACTAATTGTTTCACAATATTTTTTTCTCAATCTTACACAAGAGTTATAATTTATTTGGAATTTAATTCCAAATTTAATTTAATGAAAAGAGTTTCTCCTTCCTTGCTATATAATGGATTTAGTTGTGCTGTAAATGAGTTTTCATCTTGGGAAATCTACCTAGCTTTCCTCTTATGCATGGAATGAGTGTGCAGTTGAGACCATTAGGCTGTTCTTCCCCAGTTACAACATGCTTTCTGCTGGTAATCCAATCAGTTGTTATGATCCTCATTCACCATGCAGAAGTTCTGTGTGTACATAGCAATATACACTCATAAAGATAATTCTCTACAAGTGAATCTGGATTGTTCAGTCAGCAATTTTCCAA